TGCGATTGTAGCTTCACAGGCAATGAACTTGTGGTCCACATAAGAATACCTACAATTAGAAGGAATCATCAATGGAAAATTGTTGAGTTAGAAACCTACCCATTTTCCTGGCATAGTCAAACTTACATCATCGAACATGACACACTATACTCATGGCTATAGCTGATGGGAACAATACTAGGCAAATTACGGGCACAGGGTTGCCCATATGAGAACAAACTATGTTACTTACCAAGAATTTCGGGGGATACCCATCATGCGCATCAAAACTTTTCCATGGAGCCACTGTCGAAGATTTAACCCTCCCTTGTCCAATGAGCTGCCACTGATCTGAGCTCTTGTGATCACGGAAATCGGCGACGATCAGTTCATCATTACTCATCCACAAAAATGCCCAACGTTTCGTCCTGGGACGTCACAGCAGGAGCGTGACTTGCGGGCGTAGGTAGGGTTCAGGTAGACAGACTGATGAACTATCATGCCCTGCAGAAGGAACGCCTACACCACCCTGGGCAAAGTTTCCTGGAGGACCTGGAAGACGTGGGAAAGCTAGGGACCATGGAAGTAATGAACATCGTAAGAACCATGCTCTGGCACAAAACGAAGAAAGGAGGAAAAGGTTAAAGATTTGAGCTTTGGGAGGAAACCACCCTGAATCTGAAGAAGGGAACACAATGGGACAATAGGCCTCCGAGTACAAGAGGACAAACCCTTTAAAACCTAACCTAACCTAACCTAATAAATATATCTTTTATTTGTTCTATTGAGCAGAAATTAAGTCACGGTACGCCTCTGAAAAGACAAACCATCTGGTCTTCAAAGCTAAACAAGCAAAGTACAGAATTATCCGGAATACCAACACATAAAATAGTACACAGTCAAATTAGCAAAAAGGATTAAACGTCGGCCGCATGAACGGCTTTAAATAAAAATTGTTATTGCTCTTAATTACGCAGAATTAAAATGAGAGAATGCGACGTAGTCGCGCGGTTTCTTAGAGACTTTTTAGCTCCTTTTAGACGGGATGCCGACAACCGTGGAGAAAAACGACGGAGAGAGACGCGAAACATTGTCCAAACGGGATTTTTTTGCCTTTTGAAGTCTGATAGTTTTAAATAATGAGACGCTAAACAGCTGAACGTCAAGTGGCAGGTTGGGGAATATCGGAATTCGCGGCCGAAGCTGTGATGATGATGCTGATGCTCTTAGCCGGCCGCTTTTAACGGGTTAATTTTATTCGGTGTTTAATGCCGTATTGGGACTTGCCAATAGATAAAAATCGAATGGTAAAAGTGGGAATTGGGTTTCGTTTTACAACGTGTCAAGATGTTCTTGGAGAAAAAAGTAGTTGCAATATAATTCTCACAGTTTCTATAAGTTCTTGAAAAGAAATTTTTGATTGGAGAGCAGCCTTTTATTTTCCATATAAGATTACAAGGTGGGATGGTGAAGGATGGTATCTGAATTGGTGTTGATTAGAAAAGACAAAATGTTGGAGTAAGAGCATCAGCCTCATCGATTATTATATAATTTGATTGATAAACTAGGGCTGAATGAAGAGAAGAGGAAATTCATCATCTTGTGATTCTCTAATCCATTTTCGCTTAGAAACAAGTTTAAGGTTAGGTAAAACTTCACTGGTGCGCACTTAATTTATCATCTTCAACGATCTCCCAACTCTTTTGTTTTCCAGCGAACATCCCATAAGGCACTGACTAAAGCCCTAACTAAAAAAAGAAATCCGTTGGTTAACATCAAAGAAACCGCCAAGCTGAGGTATTAGCATAATATGTTCACTCATGCTGCTAATGCATTATAGTGCGTGCGCATCATTTGCATAGGACCGTAATTTTATCCGCATATATTACCATACCCGCTGTGAGGTAAACAATGGCAAGGTTTTTTATGTTTCTGCACCTTGTTAGGTAACTAGGTGGCCGGAGAAGATTTGCAAATTGGCCTGACTAGCTTTAACAGCCTGTATGTATGTGTGTATGTGCGTGCCAAACATTAATCTTACTTGGTGTTCGTTGGAATTCTAACTGAAATTTATCATCTTGGGTAGAACGGATAATGTTAATTTTGTTTAACATTCATTTAGTTTGTCATTGGACGAATATTTGTTGAAATAGAGCTAAAAATATAAAGATACTGTTTTAGTTATTTGTGACCAAGTAACTTTCCTTAAGTGGGCTCAGCTATGTAGAAGAGTCAGTCAAGACCAATCACCAAAAATCCACCACCACCACCAGTATACGCACTACCTATATTCCTTTATGGTGTCCGTATATTTTCTGGATTCTCAATTTCTGTTGGATTAGTTTACTGGTGATCGTGGCCTGGCCGATCAGTAGTTTTTTATGGAAGATTTGTTCCAATTTGCCTGGGGGTGGCCCACTTGAGTCTTGGTTTAGACTTAATAGTGGGCAGAATTGCGTCTATGAATACTTGTGTTTTGTACAGCAATTTAAAAGAAGTGCCAGCATATATTTTGAAAATGTCGATATTTAAATTGTTATCGATAGAACATTGTACCTGACTAATATTGAAATACCTTTCTTCCCAATAGAGAACAGTTTTAAATTAGTAATTAGTCTAATCTCATTTTTCCTTTTAAAGGTTCTCATCAATGTAATATAGTCAATTATATGGTTAATTCTTCAGTTTAGGATGTTGCTCATAATCCACTTGTTTACCAGTTAAGATAAAGGTAACAAAAATAAATATCTGCCAGTTGCCTAATTACAGAATACTTTCAAAAGAACGTAGATGTAGAAGATAATTTGAAAATTCCGGTATGCAAGTGTCATGTAGCGACCGTCACAGTTCTCATTATCCGATCATTCGGATTCAGCGCTTGTAAATTGGAACCTGCTTAACGCTGATCAAATATAAACTTCTATAAAACAAACTAGTTTCCGATCCCATTTTCTGAAAAGTGCAGACTTGCTATAAGGTCAAAAACACAATACATCACCACCCCAATTACGAGAAATTAGCGCCCGAGTCGGTATCACACGCTACTTATAAAAGCTTATTTAGCGATTCCGTTAATTGCAGAAAAGCGCTTTTGATGTGTCTTGACTTGACTGTATAAGTTGTCATAAGCCGACCGCCGTCCTTTTTGGTTTTCAAACAGCCGTTTAGCATAGCGGTCACGACTGGAGAACTTCCCGATCCTTATGTAACAACTGTTGTATGGTGTTATAAACATTTTTTAACACGAGATCCGATGATCGATTCAAATTCCAATGTAGATTTTCTATAGCACGTATTTATAGTCAGTGATGCGGTTTTTAGTACATTTGTATCTACTAGATTCAGTACACTCCAGTGTAATTTAGTAGGTACGTCAGTATATAAGGTACTTATTTGGCAATTGCCTGATTATACTGCTACGGCTAGTCAGCTTCAGTTCGGAGGCCATGGGTCTATGGGTTCCTTATATACATCTTACCTTTGGGCGCCACCAAGTTAATTGTGACTTAACTAGGAAGATTACTCAATGATGTCATAACAAAACCTGTGCAACTGGAGAGCTTACCAATAAAACAACTAATTAGATACAATAATGTATCTGGCTTTCTTTATTAAAAAATAATTACAATGTTAAATAGGGATAGCCAGGACGTTATTAAAAAAGGTGTTTAGGATTAGGCTTGTACCTAATTCGTAAATATTTGAATAAAAAAATAAAAAAAGTATCGGACATCTTCAACAAATTCATAAGACACATTTTGGCATTTCAAAATCCAAATTGAGAGCGCGTCAACTCCTTTATTGGCCCGGCGGCATATCTAAGGATATTGAAGATTATGTTCAAAATTGTGAAACATGTCAGTTAAATCAAAAGTCCCAACAAAAGGAGACGTTAATTCCACATGATCCACCTTCCAGACCATGGCAGTTTGTTCATTCCGATTTTTTTTGAATTCAAGGGGAAAAACTAACTTGTATTGGTTAACGCCTTTTCTAATTGGATTGAAGAAAGGAAAAGTAATAGAGAAGGTTAACGATAGATCCTATATTGTAACGGACGAATACGGAAAAAGATACAGAAGGAACCGAAGGTATTTAAGACAAACAAAACTTAACTTTGAATGCAAGGAAAATAATTTCAATTTATTGTATGACTTTGGATATAATTTTGGCATCAACCAGTCTCAGCCACCTTCTGTTTCTTCTGTCCAACCGCCCTCAACTGCTGCTGTTCAACCGCCTTCTACTTCGCCTTTCGTTAGTCAAACTTCTGAACAGCATCCAGATACATTTGAATTAAATAACTCTTCAGCTATCCTTGAAAGAAGTGAGGATGGTGAAGATATGACAAAGAGAGTTCCTAAACGGCCTTCATGGCAGAAAGATTATGTTCTGTAGTTTGTTTTAGTTTTTAGGATTTTCTATTATTGACATTAACGTAATTTTTATATTTTGGATCCGTTTTTTTTATTTATTTTTTTAAGGGAGAGCATGTTATGAGTAGTTTAACAAAGACACCATCTTATGACGAGTTAGTCAGTCAGTCAGTCAGTCAGTCAGTCAGTCAGTCAGTCAGTCAGTCAGTCAGTCAGTCAGTTAGTCAACTCATGTTGTAATTTCATGATTTAAATATATAGTTTTACCTAATTATTTATTTCATTACTTAGTCCTAAGCCATATACAACAGGTGGTATAGCTAATTCAATGCTTTATTTGTCGTTTGGCGTTCAAACACCTGCTAAAAATTGGCTTCACTTTAGTTTCATAGCAGAATGGCGCGTTACTACTCCTAATGTCCGTAGGACAGCGCTTTACCTGCTCTAAGCTTAAAATTGTTAGATTAGATATTTAGTACATTTTTAGGAAATTTAGTACAAATCATCGGCAGACTTCAGTACAAAATTGGTTTGTCTCGCGGTAACACAGTTTATAGTTCTAAAGCGCTGTGCCTTTGTTTTATTTTTGCAAAAATGATAAATGATAAAACAACAACCTGATAACGACATAAAGTATTTCTCATCATAGGTACTTTTACCATAGATGATACGTTTATTGCCAATGCATAGTCGCATTTTATGTGATAATTGTGTGTGCAAAGCAAAGTTTGATTTTCTTTTATTCGTAAGTATTTCTCTGAAATTTGATTGCAAATGAATGTCATCTTGTGTGAATTCCATAACTTATTGGCGATTTCAACATCAGTCAATATTTTTCGTTAGTACCTACCTATGTCAGATATGCTTGAAATATTATTAACTGATATTCAATGAACGATTTCCACACAAAACCTGTAGATAGCATCATCTAACATCGCAGTCAAATATTAAAATGTATTATTCTTGATCATTATAGTAGTTGGTGCACCTCTATTCTTCCTGAAATCTTCAAAAATACATAACGGATTTTATTGAAGTTAAATCTAAAGAAGAAGAATACAGAGAGTATAGAAGGATGTTATTATAGGGATTATCAAGTGGATTTAGTCAGAAGTTGTAAAACAGCATCTACAGTGTATGTAGAAATTTGCAAAAGTGTCTTTTCCGAATACCCCAATGTCTTCTGCAAACATTCTGTCTCACAAATACACTTTATTCGTTCCTCATCACTTTTGTGGTGAATGTTTATTATAGTTCTGGATTTCATATCTATCGGTGTGGATTGGCTTACGATTTCCCGTGGTTCTCAGTCACCAAGATGAATTTAATTCTTTCAGTATTATGAATTTAATCAACGGAAAATGTTTCTGTAAAACATCATCCGAAGAGAGAACGTTAAACTCCATGTTATTTGAAATACTTATATGAAAGAGATTCTGGAAATGTTAGCGATTAGGTTTGATTGTTACACATATTATAAATAGTATGGATTGTTATTGCACATAGAGGCACTCTAAGTCGAAAAGGAAAAAAAATACTGTCTAGGGCAACACTTATTTGCCTATTTGTTTACAAGATAACAATAATAATGTTCCGATTATTATCTAGTTGCTGTGTTTGAAATATCAAGCTAGATAAAAAGTGCAACAGATTTCTCAATGGTGTGAAATCTACTGATAAGCTTTATGATAAATTTGTAAAATAAAATACACTTTTTCCACAGACTTTTTGTTGCAGCACGAAAAAAAATGTGTGACGGAAGGACAGTTTTGGTCGTCGACAATGGTTCTGTGACGTGCAAAGTGGGATTTGCTGGACAAAACGCCCCGCATGCCGTTGTCCCTACGATAGTTTCCAGTTCCAAGCTTATTGGTCCCACCTACGTCGGCACGATAAAGTGCCCGATGGAACAAGGCAATATTACCGATTGGGACAATATGGAAGAAATCTGGCGTCAGGCTTTCTACGAAGTATTACATGTAACTCCAAAAGATCACCCTGTTTTGCTTACAGAATCCCCACTGAACCCAAAGTTTAAAAGGGAAAAGATGGCTCAGATTATGTTTGAGTATTTCGGAATTCCTGCAATGTACTTAGCTAATCAAGCAGTACTCTCTCTGTATGCTTCTGGACGTAGCACTGGCATTGTACTGGAGTCCGGAGATGGTGCCTCACACGCAGTGCCTATTTATGAAAATCACGCTATATCCAGCGCCATTTCGCCTTTGAATTTTGCTGGCCGTGCATTGACCGACTACCTATTGAACCTCTTAAGCCAACGTAGATACACTCCACCAACCGAACAATATATTGGTCGAGATATCAAAGAAAACCTTTGCTACATAGCTCTGGACTACGAAGAAGAAATAGGCCGCAAACAATGGCTACAAGATCACCGCCTTCCAGATGGTCAAACTATCGCCATTGGAAATGAATGCTTCACATGTCCAGAGGCCCTTTTCCAGCCATCATTTTTAGGCATCAATGCTTGCGGTATCCATGAAATCACTAACAATTCAATCATGAAGTGCGATGCAGATATCAGGAAGGACTTGTACTCCAACATTATACTTTCTGGAGGTACCACCATGTTTAGGGGCATTGTTGATCGTATGCAAAAAGAAATCATCGCCTTGGCACCGTCTTCCACGGAAATTAAAATCAGCCCACCGGAAAAAGACTCGGCTTGGATCGGTGGTTCTAATTTGGCTTCTTCGTCCACTTTCGAAAAAATGTGGATCTCTAGCCAAGAGTATTACGAGTGCGGACCACGCATCGTCGATAGGAAATGTTTCTAGTTTTACTGTCATGTGTACTTAATATTTTGTTATGTTAGTGGTATTAACTGCTTTAAGAGTTTACCAAAGTCGGTTTCATCTCTTCACTTGTAGTAGGTATACATTTTGGAGAAAACTGACAGAAATAGTGAGAGTATTTTGTCTCCTCTAGAAAAAGACAAGATTTATTTGCAATTTCTTCAAATAAAACATGAGGCAGGTGGCTTAACTTTCATGTGTTTCAATAGAAAGCAAAAACTGATGTGGGGCAAATATTCACCAAAAGCTTACACCATCATAATTATCTGTAGAAACAAATTGCAAAATTTTCCTTGCTTTTCTTTCATTTGGCACTTTTCTATGGTATCTTTGTCTGATTAGTTTGAATATAAACTTCACAAAGTACAGATGCTGAATATTTTTAATAATATCCTATTTTCCTATGCAACAACACCCTGCCACAGGGGTCACCGTCAATTCGTCGTAAATCAATATGTCGTACATCAATTCGCCGTACGCCAATTCGGCGTAAAGTCAATTCGTCGTATATGCCAATTCGTCGTAAAGTGATTTTGTCGTAAAGTCAATTCGTCGCGTACGTCAATTCGTCGTAAAGTCAATTCGTCGTATACGTCAATTCGTCGTAACATTATTTCGTCGTATACTTCAATTCGTCGTATAGGTAATTCGTCGTATACGTCAATAAGTCGTATTTCAGGTATTATGTTAAAATATTGAAATTTATAAATTTACACTGTCTAGTTATCTCAGACATTACCAAACTTACCGGTTAGTTTGCAATTTAAATCAGACATTATATTACAAACTAACCGGGTTATTATCGGTAAGTTTGATAATGTCTGATTAAAATTGTTAATTCGTCGTAGACGTCAATTTGTCGTATTGTTAATTCGTTGTATTTCAGGTACGATGTTGAAATGTATAAATTTGCACTTTTACTGTTTAATCAGACATTATCAAACTTACCGATAATAACAACGAATTACCTATATTGTCGTATACGTTACTTTACAACAATTTGACGTATACGACAAATTGACTTTACGATGAATTGACGTATAAATCAACGTTACGAGGAATTCTAAATACGACAATATGGTAATGCATCGTTATTATCGGTAGCTTGATAATGTCTGAATAAATAGAAAAAGTGCAAATGTATACATTTTAACATTATACCTGAAATACGACGAACTAACGCTACGACGAATTGTCGTATACGACGAAGTGACTTTAAGACGAATTGGCGTATACGACAAATTAGCTTCACGACGAATTGACGTATATGACGAATTGTCTTTACGACGAATTGACTTATACGACAAATTTACTTTACGACGTATTGAATTTACGACGAATTGACTTACGACGAATTGACATAGACCCCTGCCACAGCACCTACAGTTTCAAAATAACTGTAAAACTGGCATTATACAAGTTTTTTCGCAAATGGTAATATATAATAACAATGTAACAAATTCTCACATACTTCACAGGCACGCATTTTTACCTGAGTAATTCAGCTTCAAGTAAGTATAGATTCCATTTCATTTCTGTGACAAGGTTATCTTCTTGTTTTGCCATTTGCCACAATTACAATTGCTCCAAGCTCCAAGTGCGCCCATATTACAAACAAGTTGTTGCAACACTGCACTGTGTATCACAAACTGGATCTGCTTCTTACCATATTCACAAATTATTCAGAGGTAATGAGAGTTTAAATTTTCTGTTAGTATTATTTTTCTATACATTTCTCGGTATATTATGATACACCCACTACGGTTACCTGAAATATTGTCAGCCTGCCAAATTGGTTGCACTGTGTGCATTTATGACCAACTTTCCCCTGGGGGTTTCCACTAGAATTTATGTTATGGCTCAATGAAATGTTACTGAAGTATTCAATAGCAAATCAGAGAATTTAAAAAAATATATATTATCTGGACTGTGCTATTGAAGTTATTTTAAGACATGTACCGAAAGTTACCTTCTTTTCTTTACCTACATAACGACAGAGCTGCACATTAATTGTGTACATCAGGTACCATCAAATTTGTACCCCGTCATACATTACCCACATATTTTAAGGGTCCTGTAAGTCCTGCGACGAAATTCGTTGTATTGTAGTATTTTATAGTCCTGTTGAAGTACTGTATAGTGTATGTTGAAGTTTGAAGTATACTGTATAGTCCTGCATAGTCCTATTCAAATTCCTGTATAGGCTACTGTTGAAGTACTGCTTAAAAGTTTCTGCACCTTCCGTGAACATTTCAGAAACTCCTTGGATTAAACAGTAATCGGTTGAACCTTTGTTTTTTTTTATGTAGACAGGTAGGTACTTCGCCTATCAATTACTGATAAAAAAAAATTAATCAATTCTGTGTTAATTTACCATTAACTAAGTACTTAAGATAAAAATAGCATATCATATCGGATATTGTCAATCATCTTCTATAAATAAAAGTTGTCTACAAGTAGCCAACTCAAACTTGATAATATGCACTTATTATACATATTATGCGAACACCATATGCTTTTTAATTCAATTTTTTTTCCCAAGATACAATAAACGTTTTTACTGACAGGTTAGTACCTAATTGTCGGCAATTAGCACCGAAGGCCATATTGGCAATAATACCTACTATACGCTAATAATTATCTAGGACGGTCATATTTTTGATATCCTAAATGTATAGTGTCGATATTTGCATGTTACAATGTGAAAAGTTAATTAAAACCTCTCCCCGTCCCATAGCATAACACAGTGATTACAATAATGGGTAATCTTAGCCATTATACATAAATACGATTCCCATCGCAAGCACGAGTTCTTTTATGATGGCATACTTTGCCTAAGTATAGCCTCTTGCATATTATTCTAATTAAGTGGCCGTTTTGCCTGATTGAATGCCCGATTTCGTTTTATTTTAAAAAGTTATGGTAAAGCGAGCATTATCCGTCCAAGATTGCACTGGGTAGCCTCGGTATACCCATATTGTTCGATGGGACCGTGCATAAACGATTTTGCGTTTATTTTAATAATGGGGAATTTTAGCAACAACTCTTACAAACGAGATTTTTTAGTGCGGGCCTGAAAAGAAACACCGATTTGTCGTTCCGTCTGAAGTTGAGAGAGTGTTTGGACGTTACTGCAACGTCGTCAAAATGACCTTCTGTAGGCCTGGCAACGTTTGTCAAATGTTTCCGTTCAACCAAATTAAAAAAGCCAGTTGCAAGTTTTGAGGCGATTTCGGCAAGCTTTGGTACATGGTTTGGTACCCTGTTTGGTCTGTACCGTGGTCAGCAGCACGGTTCTTCTCATTTGGTATAGTGCTATCTATGCTCTATGCGTCTATTTTCGTTTTGTCCTGCTCTGGGAAATGTAAATAAATGAAAGTTCATTAGAATTTGAATAATTTGGAATTTTTAACAAATATGTTTGTTTTTTCGCCTTTATCTTCCTGTTTTCTCGTATGTTCTGACTGCCAAATAATATTTAACGATCATTTGAAAAATGGCAGATATGGGGTAGGTAACTTTTTTGCTGAATGGATTATGGAATAAGCTTTACATTTACAGAAAATGCTGAATTAGCCAATAGGTTACTCAAAGGTACTGTCTAGACGGTACAGTGCTGATTAGTGATTATAGATTTTAGTCAATGCAGTCAGTACCTATAGTCACTCCCAAAACTAGAAGAACAACAAAAAGTTAGGTTAAGGCTCGTCTCTTCCCCTCTCTCATGAGCTACCAAACGAATTCGGAATAAAATGGTGTCTTACGTAATTTCTATGACGTTGCAGGTACCAATTGGTTAACCAAATGGTATACCAACCAAAGCTTGCCGAAATCGCCTATTGAAAAACACTATTTTGACTGTCATTGAATTTAATCCATTAATCCAAACATATTATAACATAACCCAACATATTTTAAAAGTGAATTTCTTTGTGAATCTTAGATGAGTAGGTCCTACGTGATTTTCAATGAAAGTAGGGCATTGAAAACCATTTGAACATTCATTTTATCGAAGAAAAAAGGATATTAGTCAACTTCCACGCTTTTTGAAGTTTTTTAACCTCACTCTTCTAAGTTTTTGATACACTTCAGCTTCAACTATCTTCCATTTATAAAGCATTTCACATTTAAAACAAATTTTTGTTTATCGTAACGACAATATTGAAAATCGACATGCAAAAACGCTCATTTAATAAACTAGTATGCTGCAGTTTCTCGCCCGAGCTCGAGACGATACATAGAAGATCGTGATCGACTAATTTAAATTTTTCCTCATTTTCTGAAAGGCCCTTTTATTTTAATACGCCCTTGTATCGTTGCATACGCTTATTTTTGTTTAATTTACTTCGATAATAATCGCCATATTATTTTGGAGCTAAAATAATTACAAGAACTAACACAGAAATGGCTCGATATATCTCACTCTCCATTTACCTCTCAAGTGGAAGGATACTTGTATTGTTTAGTTGACAATCTGGTAGAATTATTTGGTAAGAGTAAGATATTTTGGGCTTCCTTACTCCAAGTAGTAAGGTGATGGAGCAGACACATGTATATACCTTCTACAAGAACCTTGAGCTACGAGGATTAGGCAGAGTGGAAAGATCTTTTTTCTATAAAAGGGACATCCAACTGAATCTATGTCGACAGACGGATCGAGTCCACTTCTGCTCTAAAGAGCTAGTAGCGGTAAAGCTATGCCTCAAGGACAGACTGGAACAGAGCAGATCAATAGTAGTTTGCTCGGCCTATCTGCCCTATGACTCAACAGATGATCCCCCAACACGAGAGTTCATCGATTTGGTGGAGTACTGTAACTCACTGGGCCTTCCGTTGATTGTCGGATGCGATGCCAAAGCATACCACATGGTGTGGGGCAGCATCAACACGAACCGGAGAGGGCTCAGTCTTCTGGAGTACCTTCACACCACGGATTTAGAAATCCTAAACCGTGGCAGCCCACCGACCTTCGTCACTTCGCGTAGACAAGAGGTGATAAACTTGACTCTTCATGGCACCGATGATAAGCAAAAGGACAGTGCCTATCGGATCACAGACACATCCTATTCAGCTTGGACCTTGATCACAAGGCTGGGCCATTAAGTTTGGGAACCCCCGGAACTCTAATTGAGACCAATACATTGAGATCCTAAGGGCGAAACTAGAAGAATTTTCCACGCCATGCCGCAGCGCAAGGAAAGTGGAGAAAACAGTCGAATTCATACGCACCTATCGAGGAAAGAAATTCATGCGAGGAAAGAAGAAAACCCCTTAGTAGAACTCTGACCTCGACAAGGCTCATAAAGAAACCCGCAGGATCTTTAACAGCAAATCAGTAGCTGAATGGGATAGCCACAAGCACTCTCAGCGCAGATATACAAAGATCTTATAAGAAGGTCCAAAAGAGAATCGTGGAGGACGTTTTGTGGAAACGTAGATGAGCTTCCGGCAGCCGCCAAACTACAAAAGATTCTCTCGAAAGACCCAGGACGAGAACTAGGGTCACTAAGGCGATTGGATGCAGTACAAAGAAGAGCAATAGAAATGATTGATAATCCAACTCTCATCGACTCACCAAGGAGACTCTCGAACATAGACTTGTCGTTTTTCAATCACTACTATCATGGAAAATGTTCTGACAATATGACTAGCCCCATTCCAGCTAGAAGTTTAAGTAGGAACCACAAGAACCTCACAGGCATCCCATCCGTACC